TTGCATACGGCTTCAGTGCTATGAAAGTCATGTGAAAATGTGCTTTAAAATTCCCATGAGCCAAACCTATCTCCGTTAATATGCGTTTTGAACCTTTCTAAGTCGATCTATGACGAAAAAATTTTTTCGATCTGCCAAAAATTTTCTAAGTTTCAAGCCTAGCTTTACTTGACTCCGAAATCCGGACAAGCGTAGTACAATTTATATTGACTAGGACGGACAAGGATCATTTGCATACGGCTTCAGTGCTATGAAAGCAATGTGAAAATGTGCTTTAAAATTCCCATGAGCCAAACCTATCTCCGTTAATATGCGTTTTGAACCTTTCTAAGTCGATCTATGCCGAAAAGATTTTTTCGGTCAGCCAAAATTTTTTTGATTCCGAAATCCGGGCAACGGGCAAGCGTAGTGTAATTTATAGTAAAGGACGGGCAAGCGTAGTACAATTTATATTGAGTAGGACGGGCAAGGATTCATTTGCATACGGCTTCAGTGCCATGATAGCCATGTAAAATGTGCTCTAAAATTCCCCTGAACCAAACCTATCTGCGTTAATATGCGTTTCGAACCTTTCTAAGTCGATCTATGACGAAAAGATTTTTTCGGTCAGCTAAAAATTTTTTTGATTCCGAAATCCGGGCAACGGGCAAGCGTAGTGTAATTTATAGTAAAGGACGGGCAAGCGTAGTACAATTTATATTGACTAGGACGGGCAAGGATCATTTGCATACGGCTTCAGTGCTATGATAGCCATGTAAAATGTGCCTTAAAATTCCCCTGAACCAAACCTATCTGCGTTAATATGCGCTTTGAACATTTCTAAGTCGATCTATGAGGAAAAAATGTTTTCGATCAGCCAAAAATTTTCTAAGTGTCAAGCCTAGCTTTACTTGACTCCGAAATCCGGGCAAGCGTAGTACAATTTATATTGACTAGGACGGGCAAGGATCATTTGCATACGGCTTCAGTGCTATGATAGCCATGTAAAATGTGCTTTAAAATTCCCCTGAACCAAACCTATCCGCGTTAATATGCGTTTTGAACCTTTCTAAGTCGATCTATGAGGAAAAAATTTTTTCGATCAGCCAAAAATTTTCTAAGTGTCAAGCCTAGCTTTACTTGACTCCGAAATGCGGGCAAGCGTAGTACAATTTATATTGACTAGGACGGGCAAGGATTCATTTGCATACGGCTTCAGTGCTATGATAGCCATGTAAAATGTGCTTTAAAATTCCCCTGAACCAAACCTATCCGCGTTAATATGCGTTTTGAACCTTTCTAAGTCGATCTATGAGGAAAAAATTTTTTCGATCAGCCAAAAATTTTCTAAGTGTCAAGCCTAGCTTTACTTGACTCCGAAATGCGGGCAAGCGTAGTACAATTTATATTGACTAGGACGGGCAAGGATTCATTTGGATACGGCTTCAGTGCTATATGATAGCCATGTAAAATGTGCTTTAAAATTCTCCTGAGCCAAACCTATCTCCGTTAATATGCGTTTTGAACCTTTCTAAGTCGATCTATGACGAAAAGATTTTTTCGGTCAGCCAAAATTTTTTTGATTCCGAAATCCGGGCAACGGGCAAGCGTAGTGTAATTTATAGTAAAGGACGGGCAAGCGTAGTACAATTTATATTGAGTAGGACGGGCAAGGATTCATTTGCATACGGCTTCAGTGCTATGATAGCCATGTAAAATGTGCTTTAAAATTCCCCTGAACCAAACCTATCTGCGTTAATATGCGTTTTGAACCTTTCTAAGTCGATCTATGAGGAAAAAATTTTTTCGATCAGTCAAAAATTTTCTAAGTGTCAAGCCTAGCTTTACTTGACTCCGAAATCCGGGCAAGCGTAGTACAATTTATATTGACTAGGACAGGAAAGGATTCATTTGTATACGGCTTCAGTGCTATGATAGCCATGTAAAATGTGCTTTAAAATTCCCCTGAACCAAAGCTATCTGCGTTAATATGCGTTTTGAACCTTTCTAAGTCGATCTATGACGAAAAAATGTTTTGGATCAGCCAAAAATTTTCTAAATGACAAGGGGTCATGAATAAAAGCCTATACAGGTTTCCAATGCCGGCCTCTAGGCAGTTTAGCCCTCTGTAATATAATATTAAAAATTATTTTTGTAAAGAGTTATGATATTTGGCAAAATGTATTTAAAAAAAAGGAAAAATTTGTATTGCAAAAGTTGGAAATATGACACGCGAAATATGAGTAGACTTTTTATAAACACTATATGTCATCCAGTCACAAGCCAGTAATCAGAATGTTACATCCACAGATCAGTGGTACGAACACATTTTGCCCGACAATCTAAAGGCGATGCCTGCGGAGGAGGCTAGGTTCCATCATGGTTTGAGAAATGTTCTCCATGCCGTCCAGTCACTAAATTACTAATTAGTTGTTTTGAGGCCTATTTCACTGCACAGTGAGATGTAACCACCATCAAATATACGTAATTGTGGAGAGATAAATTCCTGATCCTCTCCCCCGGACTGTTCTCTGACTTAATATCTACCCCGCGTTTCAGCCACCCTCTCCTCAGGCTTCACGCGGTCTAGAGTGGGAAAATTAAATTTCTAATTTTGTGATCACATCTTGGTGTAAATTCGGATGAATTTTCGCCATGAAAAGAACTTTCCCGCGCTCAAGGTTGCGAAATATTATAAAGAACTATCAGAAGGATGGTAAGCTGGCGAAAAATGTCGATATTTTGGTAGGTAAAGCTGTATTTTAAGTCAAAATAACTGGTTTCCATTAGCGATATAAAAATGTAGACAGTGTTAACAGCGTTGCTTTGGAATATGGGCAATTTCTCTCTGTGCTTGTAGATTTTCTTGGATTATATGATGTTCCTTCGTAAGCTTGCAGTGGAGGCGAACTTAAATTGTCAAGAGATGAAAGGAAAACAAATCTCTAGTGATCATATTAGAGCTGTACTACCGGTATATTATGATTAGTGGTAATTTTACTAAATAGGCAATTCCAGCTTTTAGTTTAGGAATTAGGCGTGCAGGGGAGGATGGGAAGTAAGGTATATTGCTGGTTATGCTGAAAAAATAAAGATGGCGGCCGTGAAAACACAGAGTGATAGCTTATACCTGACTGGAAAGTTTGGAAATTGCGCGGGGGAGATTTCGAAAATTTAATAGTAAATATATAGAAAGCATCAAAATTGCGCTGGAGATTTCTCCCCCGCGCAATACAAACTTTCCACACTGGAGCTTATACTTGTAAATATTGAAATGTTTTGGTTGTTTCAGCAGTTTTTATTGAAATTTTTCAGCATAATCAGCAATATGATACCTTACTTCCCGTCACCCCCTGCGCACTTCCCATAGTGGAAAGTTCGGCACTTTGATCTCTTGTGGTGGGCAAATGTTGAAAATTGTGTTTTGATTTCCTGTTGTTGAGTGACGATAATAGGTTGCCAAATAACCAAATTCTCTATTTTTTTCTGTTACATTCTAAACAGGATGTATTAAAGAACTTCCGTGGATAAAATACTTGATTGGTGGACAGTGGAAGGGGCCAAACAATATTGCTTCATATTTACTTATTATACTAGTGTAAAAATAAATATTCTGCAGATAAAGTATTGTGAAGATTAGCTACATTCAACTGCTCAATGTAAATAAACTTGGTGTGTGAGTAGTTTGAAATATATATTTTATATGGTAGACCTTCAATTTTCTATGAAGCAAATTACTCTCCTGGTTTCACTGAGCAAAGTGTTAGGGAGATGGATCCTAAAAACTACCAAACCAGAGCCTAATAGTTGATGTAGTTGTGGTAAGTCAAAAGTCACCAATGGCTCATTGGGGAAACTTAAGGTTGGGTATGCATGTCGCTTATCTGATTTTCCAAATAAGTAATATCACCGTTTGAAAACATTGCCATGTTGCTATTTTGTTATTGTCAGCTAATCAGCTTGGAGCTGGTTGAACATGATTGGCTGATCTGATTAAAACCTGTCAAGTGCTCTTGACAAACATTGAACTTTCTCGGTAAAAACATTGAACTTTGTCACAGGAATAGGCAATGTTTTTATGAGCGACCTTTCATCCTTAGTTGCAAGCGACGGTATTATGTTGTGCATGGCAAAATATGTGCATGAGCAGAACGGCTAATTGCTATACTTTAAAATTTTAACCAATCTCACACCCTGAGCCCGCGATCCTGTAACCCCTTCTCATCCCAGTCTCCTGCGCAGTTTTGAAATATAATTATATCAAGCATAAATTATGGTAATTATGCGTAGTTGAAATTTTGCACGGTCCAGAGTTCACTAAAGAAAAGAAAAATTAAAAGCTCGAGAAATTATTTTCATGTGGAGTTGAAACAATCACGCGAAGAAATTTGTACTCTGCATTATTGAGATGGCTGCGAGAAGTCTGTTGCCGCTACGAAGATTTAACCGACTTCTAACTAACACGGTAAATGGCTGTTGTTGTGTTGTAATATTTTATATAAACCAGGTTCAAATCGTGTTTATGTATGCAATGGATCTAAACTATAATTTACAAAGTGTTTTGTACGTGTCACAAAAATAATTTGTTAGCCATAGTATTAGATTTATAACAGATTAGATAAAACTGCACTATCAACCAAATTGCGTGGTTGAAAACTTGAAATTGAATTCCCCTCTATGGCTGGGCTGTTTGGTAATATTTAGCTAGCTGGTATAAATGCTTCTGATCTAATAGGCAGCATACAATGGTTAATGCAAAACTACCAGAGAAAATCGACAGTAAGGCCCTCAATATGCATTTACTGCCCATGTTAGCTGTAATCCCCCCTGAACATGTCTTGGCAAGGGGGGGGGGGGCTGTAGAGGCAGTCTGTGTCATGCTTGAAATTTATCAGCACCTCTTGGAGACCCTTAGTAAAATCATCTTAGACACATTGGTTGTCCTTTAGTAAATCCGAGGATAATTAAAAAAAAACACACAATACTTTTGCTTTGTTTATAGCATGTTGGAGCTGTGCCAATATTCCAGGGCAAGTGTTATGGCACAAAATCTGAAAACACGTCTGGTTATTCATTTGGTAAATAATGTAACTTCTTACTTTATCGTCCAGACTTGTATGTTTAGATTCCAGAATGCAGAATTGGCATTTTTTTATGCTGTACCATTGTTGGGTACTGTCTTTCCCAAGCGTGGGAGTATATAAGCACCACTAATCCTGATTCTTCTACCTTCATAATTGTTACTTTAGATATGTCTGAGGAACTTCGTGCTTTGCGAGATATGGCTCGAAAGTTTTCAAGAGAGGAAATTTTACCTGTAGCTGCCGAACATGACAGAACTGGCGAGGTTGAGATTTTCACTTGGTTTTTGTCTCAATTTTGTATTACTTGACATGTATATTTATATTTACATGCTTTATGTTGCTAGTATCCTTGGGAGATCATCAAGAAAGCTCATGGCCTTGGCCTACTCAATACACATGTCCCAGAAGAATATGGTATGTTACAAATAGACCTTATGCAGATGTACGTAATGACGTTTCCTTGCATTGTTGGTACCACTACTACCAAAATCCTTTTTGAGAATCTTCATAGAAAAAGTTGACAAATGCTTGCTAGACATTCTGCTAGTTGTAGTTGCACACTGCAAGGAAATGTTGTTATGCATAAAATCCATCAATCAGTGTTAATTGTGACTTAAAAACTGAGAGATTAAAAATTCAATGTCTACTTCCAGGTGGTCTGGGTCTTGGCTCAACAGAGAGTTGTTTGATCACGGAAGAAATAGCGTATTCTTGCACAGGAATTCAGACAGCCATGGAAGGAAATGGATTGGCTGTAAGTTTAAAATCTTAGAAGTCATCATAATTTCAATGTATTGCCATTTGGCACTAGCTGAATTGTGGTGGAGGCCCCCCTCCCCCTTGCCCCCCTCCTTACCCCCTCCTTGCCCCTCCCTCTCCTTGCCCCCCTCCTTGCTCCCTCCCCCTTGCCCTCTCCC